CTCTTATGTAAACCTACCTGTAAAAGGGAGACGGGAGGGAGCCTTGTTCTGCGAAATCTCCAAGCATTCATGAGCTCCATTTATCGCTGAGCTATAAAAAGGGCAGCTCCTACTTGTGACTGTTTAAGGATGAGATAGCTCCAAATGGAGGAGCTACAACCACGCTCCATGGTCACCCTCTCCCCTCAGCATCTTATTGCAACACAGAGAGGAGAATCAAGTCCCACTGCAGCTGTATTTCACACAGCTGACTGTGACCAGTGTTCTTGCTATTTTTAGTTTGACTGGAGACACCTGGAAATGCAAAGATCTGTGCAACACATCATCACCTCATATCCCAATATTCTGCCCTGAGGACTCTGTAAATGGAAACAAGGATGAAGGAGCTACAGAAAGAGCATCCACAGGAATTTCCCTGGAGGGCTCCAGTAACCATCTTCAACATGAGGAGAAAAGCTAGAGCACTACAATTTGCCCTAGCAGTTGTCTGAGTTGCTAACAAATATCTATCATCCAGGCTCAAAAGCTACCCAGAAGACTGCAGATGCGAGAGGAGTTTTTGTTGATTATAATGTTAATAATGTCTCGTCTTACTGCTTTTTGGTTTGCTAGTTTGTTCCACCGCTATAGATCTAGGCTTTTATCTAAATGTTCTTTTATTTCTAAACATTGCTTACAGCTCAAGCCAGTACTGAGTAGCAAAATCTGTTTCCTTAGGTGTGGTCATCCTAAAAAGTAACATCTGGGATCCCTACTGCAGAGCCAAGTATCCCGAGGACATGCTGAGGTAACCACAGAAAAGACAGGCCGCACTTCCCCGGCTGACACAGCAGGCTTGGGATTTGCAAACGAGCAAAGGAGTCTTCTTGTGAAAGAAGCACCTTGCAGGGATGCTGGAATGGCCAGGAAAATCCCCTTCTCTTCTAAGTCACATTCAGATTTTAAGATGTCCAGTTTGACTGCTTTAATGCCATCTTGAAACAACCAAAACCACACATGAGACTTAAGAGCAGAAAATCAATTTACTTAGTACTCTGGAAGATGGGCAGGGGTGTTGCAAAGTTGAAGCCAACCCTCAAATGAGAGAGAGTTTTAATTTCACTACTGTAGTCTCAAAACAGATGTGGATCCTTCTCTTTTCCTCTTGAAAACACTTTAAAAAGTATTTTACTCCTTATTTTAAAGAAAACTGAAAAAAGGTAAGATTGCTTAACTTTTTTTTCCCCAGAGGCTAACCTTCACATCGATCCTTCATTTCAAAACATGAAGCATTTATGACTCATTCTGATTTACATACGTTTTCTTATTTTATTATGAAAATGGCAATTTTCCTCTGGAGAGACATATAACATGGTCTCTTATTATGTCAAGTAACATTTAATAGCCCTTAGCTGCAACTTGGGACTGTTATAAAATGTGCTCAAGATGAGTCATCTTCATTCATTTATTCCGCAATAGGAAGAATTCATGAATGAGTGATCTGCTGTAATTCACTTCTGCAAAGAGGGCCCATTCATACATTTCAAACCTGGCTCTCTGAATCACTGTAATGTAGCTGATTATTTCACTTTAACAGAAGAAAATTTTGGCTTAAGGAAAGTTTCCACAGAAGTCTGAACATTTCTACTATGTCAGAACAGTTTTATACATTTAAGAGCTCTTCTAAAAATACACATTTTGGTCTAGCACATGGATACACAGGCAGATGTCTTCCTATCTATTTAGCAAGTAAAACACACAATCTTTGGAAAGTAAAAGGCTGACAAATGGTTTAAATTGAAGTTGCGTCAAGAGTGGGCAGAAGTCATGACTATCAAAAAAACGCTAGGCAGCCAAAACAAAGCATTTTTTAAAATAAAATAACCTAGTCGTTAGCACACAGAAGTGCTCATTTAAAACTATTTCTTAAATAAAATATGTGCAATAGAAAACAACTATGACACAAAACCTAAATGCAAAAATATAAAGCAACGCTGGCTTTGTTATTTTACAGAAATCTGTACGCAGAGCATCAAGAGAAACATACACAAGCCATTTTAAGTCATCAAAACTGACAGAGGAATGGGACTCAACAGGGAAGGAGGATCCCTCAACAACAGTGCTCCTTGAGCAAGGTTGGAAATTTCAAACCAGGGAATAAGCCCAAGAGTCTCTTCATCCCATCGTGACTGCCATGGAAGAGGCATGCGTTAAGGAGTTAGGTGGCACTTATCACAGTTCCAAACATGAGAGGCTTTAAAGACCAGCTGTGACACCAGCAGAGAGCTAGGAAGACAGTAGAAAGATCTGAGCCCAGATGCAGTATTTCCTTCAGATTACCCCAGCTTGATTACCTGGTGCTTTGCGTTTTCAGTACTCAGCAGAGTGAATATTTTACAGCTGTCCATAACTCTGACTCTCCTTTTTCCTGGAGAGACATGGATTCTAGCTGTTTCCAGGTTGAGTAGTTTTACCTCATACATATAATATCCAAAATAGGATTAGAGCTCTTTAGAAATAAAATCATTGCGATGAGTAACCAAGATGAATAAAACACCTCAGTGCTCCCAACAGGCAGGAAATAAGATGCAAGAAAATACAATTAACACTGCAGTTCTATCTATGTACAGCCCACCCTGACTTCAGCACCCAGGGCAATCTCAGGACGAGGTGATACCAAGTGTGTACGAAAGTCAAAGGAACAGTGAGTTAGCAATCACCCCCATGGGTCAACTGTTGTGTCTCCATCCAGAAATAGCTCCCTGCCTCCTCATCCTACCTCTACAGGCTACTTCACAGAAAAGGCAGAACATCTATTCTTTTCAGAGATTTTTTTTTTTAACAGATGTACACAGTCAGAAAAGACTGTAAAAATGGGCAGATATTTGCAGGAAAAAACAGGTTGGAAAAAAAGTATTCACAGATACTGTCATAAGTACACCAACTTCCTACTAACAGCATCTCAACAGTAAAATTCAGCTATGTGGCTTCATTTCCTTATGACTGATTTTTTTAATAAGCCTGTACATTTATAATGCTGCTCCCAAATCATATTCATTAGATATTTCCACATCTTTAACTTCAATTTGATTTGGTAACTGAAGGCGTACACTGAAGAAAGCAACAGGGAACTGAGGGGAGGTTTCCTTCTTTAGAGTCAATGCAAGAGCCTCTTGTGGCCAAAATCCATTTTGTGAACTTTCATATATATGCATATATATGTATATAAAGACATAATCTATCAAGGGCAAACTATGCTTGAGAAGCTGTGGCAGAGCAGATAAGGGCCACTAATACCATATTACTCTGTATGGCATATGCCATCTGTGAAGCTGTTCACTTTGTATAACTCTGTATGCAGAAGTTGTTGGGAAAGTAAACTTTCCTCTCATTAGTTGCAATATATGCGACTATGAGAAACATATGAGAAAGAAAAGCATCAATTTTTGAAAGAGTTTCTTCTTTAAGGCAGGGAAACTCAGCAACTCAAGAAGGGGGGAAGCTGGACTAGATGATCTCTAGAGGTCCCTTCCAACCTTACCCATTCCGTGCTTCTGTGATTTGACTTCAGTAACAAGTCAAAAAACTGAAAGATCTGCCTGGCATAAAGACCCATATGATACAATTGCCTCAGGAGTGGCAGAAGTAGACAAGAAAAACTACATTCAAGTGAATGACTATAACAGGTTCTGTTACATTACCCTGTTCCAAGGTTACATTGCTCTGTTCCAAGAGTAATGAACCTGTGGACATAAAAAGCCTCCACCAAGTTATGCTGTCTGCTTTACTGCAAGGCTTGCAAGCCATGTTTTCATGTCCGAGAAGGCAGAAGGATAAGATGAATATGTGGAGGACTGAAAAGGCTGTTGAACTGATTTGATATTGCAAAGTAACTATTACACACCTGTGTTTCAAATAAGCCTCACAAAACTGAGCTGCAACAACGACTGTGTGTGGCTCCAAAGAAGCAATATAATACTGTGCAACCAGCAGAGAGTTTCGAAGAATGGATTTAATGAACATAAAAGTTTTAAAATTTTTTGATATATAATCTAAGGCTTCCCTCTGATAAGTTATACTGTGGCTAAAGGACCTGCCTAGGACACTAGAAAACAGAATTTGGGCTCTCCTCAGACTGCAGAGAGTGGGGAAAAAGGAGCTTGAAGCCACTTGCTCCAGCTTCTCAGAACAGCATCTGCTGAAGCTGAACCAACATCCAGAAGAAGAGAGTGCAGGATTCATTGGTCCAGCAGAGAAAGTGCCTCAGTGCTGCATCTGTGCATAGTCTCTTGTAGCACACACACAAAAGTGGTAGTCTAAACCACACGTCATCTGACTGCTCCTTTCTTGAAGGCCTGGATGGCCTTAAATTTTGTAGGTATTCCAATTCGGTACAGAAAACAAGATCTGTACAGAAACAACACCGGTACAGAAAAATATAGGGATATAGGAAAACATATATATATAGGGATGTAGGAAGAATACAGGGATATAGGAAAGTATAGGGATGTAGTATTTGGATGAGGTGCTTGCATTTTGAAGCTGAATCTCAGGAGGCAACGGAGATATCTTGGCCCTTAGAGATAACAAATAACTGGTAGTGGGATAACATATACATATTGGTGGGGTTGGCAAAATAATGTCTACATGATAGCAAAGAATAATAATAATAAAAAAGTAACGCTAAAATCAACACAAATTAACAACTAACTTTTAATGTTTGTGTAATAAATGAGCTTAACCAAAAGCTGTTACAACAGCACTTGCTCGTTTGCACCGCAGGCTGGAACAATTTCCCTCTACCCACCCTATTGACTGTAATTTAATATATGAAAAGATGTTTTCCATATGACAGTGAGGTATAAAACCAAATGATACTTAGCATCTAATCTTCTAGGTCTTTAAACAGACATTTTATCCAAAACCACTTCCCTCACTGTTTTACTTTCAACATTGTAAATTGCTTTTTGCTTACCCTGATACAGAATCAGGAAATATTAAAATAAATATATCGGCTTTACCTGTAATGCACTGAAATTGTCCATCTTCTCTTCTTATTGTAAATGCTTCCCCTGGATTAACTTGCACAAGAATAACCTTAAAAATAAAAGAGTTTTTACAACCATTACACAGGAGTATGTTACAAAATTCAGTATGCGCAAAAAAAAAAAAAAAGTTTTTCTGCAAGAAAAAACAGCAACCATTCTGGGTGATGAATAAAAACACTATTTTCCACTTCACACTGTGTGCAGCCTTCAAACCACACAGAGAAGAGATAAGAACAAGTACAGATACTTTTTACAAGCATTTTTCAAAGAGTCAAGGTGAGATTAACAATTGGGTAAAACTGTACTTCTACAAACTTCATTTCTGGACTGCTTAGCGTAATAAAAGTTATTTCTATAGCTTACATTCTTTTAACAATGAATTACATTAGGCTCAACATTAATCAAGCCATTATATAAAAGTTCCATAAGGAAGCCTGGAATTCCCAGTGTTTGAATTTTACTCATTACCACTTGGCAAACAGTTTTCAGCGGATGGGAAACACTGCGTAATTTCCCTCTTTTCATGGTCCGAGCATGTTTGTAGATTTATTAATGCTATTAGAAGCAATGACGAAGTAAGTGCACCAGATGCACAACACGACACAGTATGTACATTTTTATTTGTGGAAAGTTAATTATCCTAGTTTGGGAAAACTAAGCAGCACAGAACTGTAGAAAAGCACACTTAATGGCTGAAATGAACCAAGGAAGTCTGACATGAACCCCGAGAAGATGCCCGTCATCGTTTCAGACTCCTGTACGCTCATTAAAGCCTGCTTTTCTGTAAGACAAAATGTTTATAACTACTGAAGCACCCGGAAAATGTTCTGGAGAGGAAGGGGAAGAGAAAACAAATAAATGAAGGAAGAGCAGGTACATCCCATAATTTTCTTTCTCGGCACAAACTTTCTTTAGTCTAGCTTGCATGCATCCAAATGTAAATATATCTAAATATACATAATATTTCTCCTCCTAATGTGAATCAGGGTGAGACACATTTAGATATATATATATATATATCCATTTTTAATATCATGAACAAAATGATAGTCTGTTAAATTGTTGAAATTTTTGAAGAAGAAATTGTGCTTGTTGATGCTTCTTCACAGCAAAGAAAAAGAAACTTAAGCGCTACTGATTTTAAGAATGACAAATCTTCCTGTTTCATTCAGCTTTTTTGTTTGCTGCACCTTTCCTCAGCACTAGTCTGTTCAGTACCTTTTTGTGCCTCATCAAAAAGAAAGTGCAATGGGAAATGCAAGTATCACACAAATTCCTCCTCCTTTGGTAGTGCAACTTCACAGACTAATCAAAAGCACTGTAAGTTGTATCCAAATGTAACTGCAATTTTGATAAGACTTGCTGGATATTCAGCATTTTCAAATTTGGACCAGTGTAGAAACATTGCTTTAACTCAATTTAGAGCATCCACTTCAAACATATTGCCTTGTGCTGCTCGATATGGGGCAGGACTGTTACTGGGGAAATCTTTTATGAGGGCTTTTTGAGGAAAAAATATGATCTTGATCCCCATTTACATTTTATCATTTTGATAAGTTTCCCCTATTTATATTCAGACATATTTTAGATAAATTCACTAAAAGCATTAAAAAAGTATGCTACAAGCTTAAAGCCAAGAGAAGTTTGGAAAGCACTTGAAGAAAGACCCTATGAGTCTTCAGAAAATATTGTATTGGCAGAGTTTATCGCAAGTATTTGAAGGTAGCGTTTTCGAAACTGGGTATCATCTTCAGTAGGAGATAACTGAGGGAAACTGAGTGGATGACCTGAATACTTTTTTATTCCACAAGCAGGCCGTGCTTTTTGAAGCCAAGCCTTTCACTGGTTTGCCTCCGTATCTCTGCTACAGTTAAAAATTTGACCTCGACACAGAGGCCGGAGTAAAAGGCCATGGAAGTTTTGTGGGGTACCTGAGAAGGCCCTTGCATCGAGTAGCAGTCGCATTTGCTCGGCCGTTTTGACCGGCTCTGGATACCCTAACTTCTCGGGCACTTGAGGAACACGCACAACTTTCAGCTCTGTCTTTTTGTTTTCTGCAGCACCAACTACGCGAGCGAGATGAGGTGTAAAGCTGTGAAGTCTCAGGGTGGTGATTGGTGCAAGTCCCTCGACTACTGCCTCTGAAGTAGCTGGAATGGGAATGACTGGTATTCCTCCGCTCTTAAAAAACCTCTCTTCCCGCTTCCTGAAGGTCGATGCCTGGCTCCCATGGTTGGTAACCTAGGTAATGACGTTGCCTTGGGAACCTGTTGGTTTCTCCTCCCCTTCCTCTGCTGCAGGACATCCAAATTGGTGGCTCCTGCTCCCAAAAGCAAACCGAAGGGAGGGATGTATTAGTCTGACCGCAACAAGCAGGCAACGTGTCTCTTTATATTCTTTTGCAGGGGGCTCCTCTGTGTGAGAGGCCCTTGCTGTTCACTCAGAGCTATCTTAAAAATACAGGCTCAAGCCTGGGGTCATGGTATAGCATAGAGGGACAGATAGCAATGCTTGTGCCATGTGGTCATAGGTCTCCTGATGGCAAACAGCAACATATAGATGCGTATAGATGCTCGAGACGCTGGCAGACTTGCACTTCTCCACAGTCAAGAGGTTTGGGAGACTGCCTGACTACACACTGCTCCTCCACACTGCAGATACATTATATGCTCAGCTCTCAGGGACAAGAAATGGATCCTTCTTTAAAATGCCAGGTATTAGGCAAATAAAATCTACAGGTTGCCAGGATTTATAGCTTTCTCATCTCGTTCCCGCGGTCTTACGTGGCAGGTACTCTAAACCTCATTTTTTTTCCTTTCTAGCGCAAAATCTGCTTGCTGGCTAGCACTAAATGAAAAGCTTTGGAAAAGACCCTTCTGTTTCAACCTCTTAGGCCATACTTCACCCTGCATGTGACAAACCCTTCTGCTTCCTTCCCCAAAGCTCTCCAGCAGTCGATAGGCACTATATTCCACTGAGATTCCTGCCACCTCCTCCCTACAATGACTGCAGCAACCTGAAAAACTCAGCTGTGGCTTATCACCTTCAGTGAAAGCCATATTTACCATGGACACTTTTCAAATGCCACTTCTTCTTCTAAAGCAAGCACTAAGGACTTCACAACCCTAACAAAATAATGGGAACATTAAGACTTGTCCTGGAGCATCTCCAACGCAGTCAACTACAACGGAACTTTAAAAAAAAATCTAAAAATGTATTTTTTCAATACTAATACAACCGTGACTTTTTTTTTTAATTGGGTTAAAAATATGTTAAATCAATGCCATTAAAAATGGAGTATTAGGTCAACAGCTAATTTTGTGTCGTTTTCACTGGGACTGAAAATTGTTTCCTTTAAACAGCTATTTAATGATGATCCACACGACTTCAGTGCAGTTCCTGATGAACAGCAGTCTGTTATCAACGACATTATGAACACATCTTTCCTGGAGAGATCAGCATACAAACCAATGTGACTGTAGCTACCCACTTACACTAAAAAGTATGACCAGCCAATGACTAAAGTGTGAAATACATGAAACACCAGTTCCCAGAGGTTTAACACTATGATTTCATTAGCTTTCAGTGGTATTTAATTCATTCTCAAAGATATTTTAGATGATTACCCAGATCAAAAGAGCATTTTAAACTGTTTGCGAGGTTCATGTAAACAGGCAAACTGGTGGTTCACCTGGCCCAGTGTGCTAAGATAATAAAACCCGCCCGGATGCCACCCTGTGCCACGTGCTCTAGGTGTCCCTGCTGGAGCAGGGGGTTGGACCAGATGATCTCTAGAGGCCCCTTCCAACCTCAACCATTCTGTGAACTGAAGAGGCTGTTCAGGGGCAGCAAGTGAGCATGAATCTGCTTGAACTCTTGGGAACTGCTCATACTCTTTGTCCCCACAACCCACAGCAGCAAGTTTCTGAAGGCCACATTTCTTCTATCCATTTTAAACCCATCTCTTAACCAGTTTCAAGTCCTCCCTAGATCCTGTGTATGAGCTCTGACCAGTCCTGAAGAAGTTTTCTCCATCATCATCATCACTTTGTAAATCCTAAACCATTTTTTGCCCCCTCCCTGGCTCCCAGTCTCTGTAAACTTCAGTCACAGCATTTTTAGTCTCTAAGACAACTCTGTTACAGTCATCCTTAGCACAACCTTGCTTTGCATCAACAAATATCCTCCCAAATATTCCTGAAAACTATCCTAGGGACCATTTTTAATGCACGTTTTGCACACAGATGCACATTCTGGAGCATAAGATAGTTTCCTAGAACAGACTTGTTCTTGATAGCTAGCCTCAGTCCCTGGAAGCGCTCTTGAGCACATCTAAATTAGTGCAATACACAAAAAAAATGCCTCTCAGTAGGCTGACGAAGCATTAAAATGCCTTGCCTTTTTGAAAGGCTGATTAAGGGACACCCTCTTTGAAAAATCTAATCCAGATGTTAATCAGTTTGAGTCGTTTTAGAAGAAATGTAGGCTTATAAAAATAAGTCTACATATAACAATTTCTAGATCTCTCAGCAAAAATTCCATATTGAAGTATAATTTTATTGCCGTTCATGTTGTAAAATCAAATACTACAGAGGTACCTAAAAGATTTTGATACATTACCAATTTTAAGAACAGATGCAAACATAAATAATAATTAATTTGAAGATCTCATATGTGATATAGCATCGCTCTGTCAGCATGAGCTAGGGATGAGAAGAAGAATTCTGATTTTGCATCTAAAGGTTGTAAGGCAGTACTAGTAATCCAAATACCCCACAAGCTTAATACCTCTTGTTTTGTAAGCAAATTCAACTATCTGCAAGAGAATCTGGAGAACGTTTCAGGTAGAGATGCAAACTGCGAGATGAATGCTTTTCCAAATCTTCATTTTATTTCTAACTCTGAAAATACCAATTTGATTAAAAATGTCTGAAATTAGAAGAAAGTTAGAAGACTAAGGAAACAAACAAAACACAGAGGAGACCTGTGTACAAAACACCTGCAGCCATCTTGAGTTAGAGGGTTGCTCCCCAAAACAAGGAAAGTTTC